ATCGGATTGATGCTGAAGAACACCACAGCCTAAGAATACGAGATTTTATTATCTACCTGAATCCTTTCCAAGAGGTATAATTCTTTAACACTCTATATATGAGAGATGATTCTTTCATCCAATCATAGATCTCCATTCTGAACACGTGGATACTACATTTTTTATAAATAACATTCATTTTACATTCAAACTTCCTGAAAAGGCAATGAGGGGTTCTTTAAGGGTCATGCTAAGTAACATCAATATTATTACCTCATCTGGTGTCGTCAGAGTGGAGTTTACCATCCGGTGTAAACCCAGGGTATTAATGAACCTGTAACTTCTCTCATTCGGAATGTCTAAACAGTTAGATGTTTTTAATTAAACTCGTGTTCAACAAATGATTTCTTTATTTGATGTGGTAAGTAAGAATGTGTGTAGGCTTATTGAGGTATTGCACTGATGGGCTTTTTGGATTGACCAGTTTTTATTTTCAATTCCACTTGATTAATAATGCTCAGTGTTAACGAGGAGATACGGATTATCTGATATTGCTATTATCATTAATTTATATGATAATATTTGAAGATAATAAGTCAATGTTTTTGGGCAAAAGTCAAATTTTACTTTAAGATAATACAGTTATATACCCTGAAACCTAGCAACTAGCATACCCATAGCCTCTGAGGATCTCAAATAATCCTACATTTTTGAAAATGAAAACACCTTTATGACTTCATCAAAATCAAAAAGAAAATAAATATAAATAAAATTCCTGTAAAAAAACAATTTTATTTTCTGGAAATTTGAGATACACGATCAGTTATAATGAAAAGTCGAAGACACAAAAATAGTTAAAGTGATCAGAATTGAAATGAAAAAGACCAAATTTTACCCGATAACATTTAAAATCAGATTATCATTCCGACTATATTGTTGTACTGTTGAAAATATAAGACATTAAATGATGAGAGCAAAACATCATTAAAAAATTGTGATGTTTTGAAAAACTAAGCTTGAACTCGCGAATGCAACTTTCGGCTGTCGGCTACCTGATAAATCTACTATTTAATGGGTTGCCCATTTAAATATGAATAGAACTTGCCAATAACCTTTCATATTTAAACTAGTTGGTCATAAATATAGTTTAAACCGTCAGCTGACAGTTGAACTCACGAATGCTACCTAAGAGATGGAAACCCTTTTGAAAGGGTAAAATACAGAAGAAGTCATAATATCGAAGAAAAGGGTCGAGCACCAGACTATTGCACTTTGTGCCCTTTGGTCGATTTTTTGTTGTATTCATCATGTTGACGTTAATTGAAAACGAGCTGTAAATAGTTCATTGGACTATTTTAGAATTCCTTCCTGGCATTTGTCTTCAATTTTGTCCAAGATTTCTAAATCTAGTTTTCATTGTTATTTTAATCGGTAAAATATGGAGAACATTTAATCGAATGAGTGTAGAAATAGTTTAATCATTATACAATAAATATGATCTGACAACGGTAATATTCTTATACATAAAATTATATATAAAATACATATATTCCTATATAATATTTTATATCCTATGACTTTATATTTGTTAAATTTGATCATCACATGATACAGTCTTCTTAACATCCTCGTTTACATAATTTACAGCAATTTGATAACACGTTTCGTATTTTCCATATTAATTTATTACCTGGCGTTGCTTTCAAAGAATGGTGACTGAGTTCTTAGTTCTCATTGTACATAATGTTTTCAATATTATCTAACTATCTGAGAGCTGCGTCGATGTCATCGGAAACTTGGATGGCATTTGAGTACTCAATTGATGGCTGACGGTTTAACCAACCATTTCATAGCAAACACAATTACATATGAATGGAATAGTCGCAGGTACTTTTTATATTCAAATGAGTCATAAAACAGTAGGTTAAACCATCAGCCGTCAGCCGACAGTTAAATTCACGAATGCTACTTTAGAAAAAACGTTTTCAATCTTGATAGTGGTCCAATTGAGGACGTTCAGTCATCAAACCTTTAGTACGGAGTGCATTCTAATGCTATAACTGACCCAAAATGGACATGCCTCAAGGTCAAAGAGCTTACAATAATAACACTCTCACTACTTTGTAGTTTTAGTTAAGAGCCCGTCTAACTATCAAAATACTGTATAATAAATGTATGAAAGATCTAAATTAATTGATTTCCCAAATTAACCAGTTATCGAGCTCGATCGAAGCAGTTTTGCGTACTATCAGTTTATCGATAATGATTTACATGTCTATCGTCTATATACCTTTTTGCACCGGTGCTCTGCATTATGTCATTGAACTCTAATAAATACAAGTATGACAGTGAAAACACAATTCTTTATGATGTTCTATATTCGATGCACAAGTAGCGTGATCTAAGTCATTTATAAGTGATACTACGGTGGTAGAACAATAGTGGTACAGAGGCCAAACGCTCAGTGGAAAATTATTAGTGGGACACTTTTGAACTTACTTCTTAAAGGTGCAACAATTAGTACTTTCTTTTCAATTGATGTTCCAATACATTTTGATATTTAACCCCATGGAACTTGAACTGCCATATCTATATTTTTATCACTTAAAATAACTTTAGAAAACTGTCTGTCCAAATGTTTGAATAAGAAATATTTTTGGATACGTATTACGTTCTGTTAAATTCAGTAGGCTTTTTAAACTAGTTCAAAATCTCGGGTAATTAAACAACTCCATTGTAGAAGACACGATAGCACTGAACGAATTGACGAAAATATGTTTTGTTTACTGCACTACATGGGGATATTTACACAGGGGTTTCCTTAGAGTACAAGCGTTACAAGGGGTAATTGATCGAGTGCGTGGTAAGAATCGTGGGACAAAAAGGTGAAGGTCATAAATCATTTCTAAAAAATATAAGGTACTGCTTACGGCACTTTAAGAAAAATGAAAAATGAAAATATGTGATTTGAATATATTTCATATTTTTGAAATCTTTTAAAAATCGTCAATCATCATTGCCCAGAATTTGTTCTTGACGGATTATTGTCAAAACAAAAAACAAAACAATAGCTTAAATGGTAAGTTCTGAAACACACATGCGAATTTCACTAATCTCATGCGGAATGGGTGCGGAATACAAACAAAAGGTTTGATTTAATATAGAAAAATAGTTAAGATAACATTTGTTGTAAAAATTAAGCAGTTTCAAACAAGTTTCAATTCGATTCATGGCATCAACCTATTACTAATGGCACGCAATGTAGCTTCTCATCATTTTGGACTTATGAAAAATATGTCAAAATCTGAGCAATGTCAAGAGGAAAATTCGAATTGTCTTTTTCACTTCTTTTTCATCCAATGTTAAATATGGTAACCATCATTTTTCATATTTTATTTTTAATTTATTCCATACTGTGCCACCATTTATACTGAATACAATTTCCGGTAATATTAAATGTTTGTTTAGCGACTCCAAAACATCCAAAATCCACTTTTCCCGAGAGTTTTTAGAATTATTTTTTCATAAATTTTGACATGTTACGTTTTTTCAGTTTTAGAGAAAATATTTAAGAGTCTTGTTATTTGAACTCATTTCCAAGAAGAAAATATAAAATAAACAACATCGTAAGGCCCTATCAAATTAATTCTCTACGTATATATAGCTGTGTTTGTCAGTTCATCCGACAGCTACTCGGTCACTGTGCCCCGATGAAAGTTCCTTTCTTGCATGCTTTAGAATTCCAGGATTTCTCTTTCATAATTAATTTTTACATGTCTTTGAATTAAAAATAAAAAATCCTATCACCTGGTTTTTATTTCAAAAGCGCGAATTTCCGCCGAACATCCATTTTCCCTGTTGTGGCCTAACTAGATCAGATGTTCATCACCTTGGTAATTGATTAAACGCCCGTAGTACAATACCTAGATTAATACAGTCATAGGCGCTCTGCTAAATCATTTATATATGTTCTATAGAATATAATACGCTATTGTTTTGAGTAAGTATTTAATCATAAAGCTCGCTCTCAATCATCGATTATAGGATGTTACGTAGAACTTCATTATTTATGATCTTATGGTAAAGGATCATATTTACTCCAAGAATTCGATCCGTTCTATTAGGTAATAAATATGATTAAGATCGCAATATCAAAAATGTAAATCCCTGGCCAAATTAACAAATGGTGTACTCTACTACACAGTGGCTACCAATATAGGGAAATAAAAAGCAACGTCCCAATTTCGCGGTTGCATTATCAAAAATGTAAATCCCTGGCCAAATTAATAAATGGTGTACTTTAATACATAGTGGCTACCAATATAGGGAAATAAAAAGCAACGTCCCAATTTCGCGGTTGCATTATCAAAAATGTAAATCCCTGGCCAAATTAATAAATGGTGTACTTTAATACATAGTGGCTACAAATATAGGGAAATAAAAAGCAACGTCCCAATTTCGCGGTTGCAATATCAAAAATGAAATCCCTGACGGAATAAACAAAGAATGTGACTGCCAATATAGGGAAATAAAAAATCAACCTCTCAATTTTGGATTTGGGCCATTAACGTCCAAGAATTATTACATTCCAAGTTGTAATTTTTGGAGTAATTCTAAAATGACATAATATCTTGAATAATCAAGGGAAATCATAGATTTGGCCAACTTCGACCTCGTTCAATATTTCTGTTCTGCAACAGAGTAGCCAATCTAAAATTTCGTCAGTATATATCTAAAGTGCCGAAAACACGTTTAACACGGTTACAATAATGATGAGCTAGGAAATCGCTTCACTCCAAATGAAGATGTATGAATTAAATGCACAAATCAAAGGGATAGCGATATGACATTTTGACAATAGTTACACTCACGAAAACTGCAATAAAGCGTACATTAGTGTGAGGGGTAATGATCCAATAGATGTGATTTTGCTAAATCCCATCCCCACAACCAGCGGATTACTAATATAACAAAAAGGAAATACGATCGATTTTTATAGTTCGGATACAGCAGAGTCTGTAGGCTCGGAGACGCAGGGATGTTGTTGGATAGAATACACCGAAGCATCTACCAGTCATTCGCATCAAACAATAAGTCAAGATTCGCCCAGTACCTGCTATCAAAATAGACTTGTTCTTATCTAGAACCATCTGATCAACTTTCACGAAGTTTATCTCCGAGCTGGAACTTAAGGTAAGTTATTACAACGTTAAATCAGAGAAATCCTCATTGGTATACGTAAAGGATAAGATAGTGGTGATTCTGTGAACAAGTCAGGATTCTTGAATTCGAAATCTGGAATAACATTTGCATTCTTCAACAGGTAAGATGATTATAGAGATTTATATGTAGAAATGAAAATGTTATTGTAAAATAGTCTTTGTAGTTTTAGGATAACATCGAACAGATCCGTTTAAGATGTACTCGATCTGGATACATCTAAAGAAATCAAAAACATTACATTGACTTATCTCTTGGTTTGTTTAGAATTTCTGCGTTTGTTTCAAATTCAGCAAAGGTTTAAGACAAACACCCAAAACCAAAAGGATTCAGTTTCCATTTGATGGCGTTATTTATATCGAACTAAAGCCAGTATTTGGTGCATTTACATTCCGAATATATTTAATTGATATAAATAATTGTACACAGATACATTTCGGGTTAGTTAGATGTATACCACCCATTTTCCAGACACATGGTCCGTATCCATACTTCGTTAAAGCAATATTACCTCTTATTTCGTATAAATGAAACGTGTGTTATATTAAACCATAAAATTCCAGCGTAGATGGTATATTGTCACGCTATGGCACTCTGTTGGTTTTTTGTATTATTGCATTGTCGACCTTGATTACGTACATGCCCGTAAAATGAAGGTCTGGCTGAACAACGTGTGTTTTGTATGGTCATTGCAGAAACGGTTAACCCATTTTAGACTTGCTTCCACCAGGATACCGTTATTCCCTAATACTGTATATGCATCAAATTTTCAAAGGCGTGTTTTGTGAGATTTTTCTTGATTGGGCACGCCCAAGCCTGCATTGACACGTACTTACTTGTCAAAGCAGGCTTAAACACGTTAGGGGTTTCCCGGGGTTTCCAATTCAGAATTATTTATCGGCAGAGTTGCTTATTAAGCTTACCACAGGTTTATTTCAGTTCCATTTCCTTTGCGTAATTGAAGTCAATGCACGTTTTACCAAAGACATTATTTCTGTGTCGCTGGTTTAACTAGGATTTGCGGTTCAATAAAGGCTCCTGAATTCGAACATCAATTCAGATTCAATACCCCCGGTGACCCAACACGACCAAATGTAGAATATACGAAAATGAGAGAGAATGGGACTAAAGGTAAGGGGATAGGAGAGACTAGGGGTGGTATCTGACTGACAGACTTCTCGTAGGGGAGATAACGGGATAACAAATATACGAGAGGCGATGTGATTACTTAACTATTTCATAACACAGCCTCATAAAACCCGTTTAGCATTTTGTCACGATTACAGGTTGTTTTCAAAAGTTCGGATACTTTATTTGTAAGTGGAAGTAAATGTACGCAATGGCTGGTAAATATTGCAAATATTTCATGACATTATTATGGGCTCAACGACTTGCTTGTTCTTGTGCAAAGGGCAACAGCTTACTACCGTCTCCAAGGTGGATGTTGTCGTCGTATATATTGATCTCTACAGTTTATTGTCATTTACTGATAAGGCAATTACCAGTATAAATAAAGACAATATGCTGCGATGAAAATACTCTGTCTAATTTCAAATCATATATGACACGATTTAACTAAACAATTCTCTTCCTATGAAGTACATACTGATAGAATTGTCGAACCTCAGGATAAACTAGCATAGGACACGTCATAATATATTTTACCAATAAATCACCGGCAAAATTACTCACTAGAGCGTACTCTAATTAATAATATATTTTATATTATATACTCATTGGCGCATTTTCCATCAGAAAGCAGACGACATCGAAACCGAGGCTAGATTTATAAGGCGCTGTGCAATAAAACAATGGCGACCTCTTGAGTCAAGTGATAGACAACTAATCCCGATTGCAGCTGGTTTCTGATTAGAAAATGTTATCGGGAATAAATTCAATTTTGTCTAATAGAAAATGAACTGACTTTAGGAGTGAAGATTGTAAGCAATACCCAGAAATTTAGTCTAATTCAATTGGGGACAGAAGTAGCTCTTCAGAGCGTCTATAAATTCCAGGTTTAGTTTTCAGCATATTGTTCGCAGGATTCAGGGATTTGCTCCAAATGACTCTTCTACTTGATCATTAATTTAGCCAATAAGGTGAGTCTTAAATTACTTTGCCGAGAATTAAGATTTAGTTATTTAAGGATGCTTCAAAGGAAAAGTTCATTATATCCCAATTGAAACACAACGTTCACTTAACATACCCCGCGTATTGATCCAAGTGCAAGTCGATGTAAACGGAAATAACAAATAAAAAAGAATCCATGATGGAGTGGGTGGTTTAGGTGGTCATTCTTCTTTGTGGCATCCTAATTACAAGACTAAGGTAATATAATGATATTAATCAAAAAATGAACGAGACACTCGGATCTCGTAAAGGCGCATGGAACTTTGAATATTACGTATAAGCAACAATGATATGCTAATTAACATCACATTTCACTCTATAACATGGGGATTCATATAATTACTATTATCAGAGGCATAAACTACATAAACATTGACAATGGCTCAAATGTTTTTCATTACCCGGAAAGATAAAAAAACACAAGAGAAGCACCAATGATATAAACTTTGAAAAATATTGGAAGAACCCATTGCTGGCAAACTATTCCGGAGGTTTTCTGCTGTTTAGGCATTGATGAAAAATTGAGCAAAATACCATGTTTTCATATTAGCATAAAATGGACTGTATCAGAATATGTTTCAATTGCATCCAACCATGTTCCCCTAGTGACTCCTACAATATTTGGTTAACTTATTGGAACACATTGTGTGACAATCATTGTACAGTACCCCGAGATATCTTTGGATTAAGTTTTCTCCGAGTTTTCCAACATCAAAGACATTAAATTTAGGGAAAACTCCCAACCATCGATTATTGCATTCATACTCATTAACTTTTCTACTAATGCAGCACTTAACATGCTTTGTTTATTGGCAAACATTGTATATGATATATGATATGTATTGCTTTCGATCAACAGCACTGAATACACAGCGTTGTTGTCAATAATGGACATGCGCATGCGCATGTGACATCGATTCGCATATTGGGGTTCAGGCTAAAGTTGCCACGTGTCTTTTATTTTAAGTGCGCTTTGAAAAGGGCAAACTTAATAGAAATCTTGTCATCAAAATTACTGGAAAGAGTCCATTCAAGTGAAATTTTAAAAGATTCAAAAGCAGCCCAGACTGTCAAGATCTGATTAGTTTTTGGCATAGCATGGCGGCCATTTTGGTTTTCAAAGTGCGATATTTGTCACTGTGTGTCTTTTCATATTTACGCGTAACATAAAGAATGTTTCATTAAGATATCGTTCGAGTGACCACTGTCAATATGCGATGCAATTCGGGCATTGAGACATTCCAATCGACTGGTTGTATTTCCCGACATTTCCAAAAATGTCAAAAATAAATCAAATCGAGCAAACGTTAATTATTATTATAAAAGCTACCATTGGGCTTGCATTGCATGTTTTGCTACCTTATCACTGTCAAGTTAGTCTTGAACCAAAATGCATCTTCCATCCGAACTCAAGCAAGTAAAAGAGATCGTTTCTTGCAAAAAAGTCTTCACAATAAGACCACACAGGGCGGGGGTGGGCCGGTCTCAGGTTAATGATTCGCATACTTTTTCAATCATCTTACTCAATTAGCTTAGATATCTCTTACTAACAATAATACGGCTTCTAACTCATTTTAAATGTTTCCATAACTATTGAGTAATTGACAAAGATTCCCATTCTCTCTGATTCTACCATAATTAACAATGGATTCTTGAACCAACATTTCTTCATCTTCTGGAATCGATCCGCTTTGTTTCAAGGTTCGCGTCAGATCCTCGACACAAGGCTATTTTAGTCCAGTGTTTGCAAGTCAAATAGTCGTCACTCATTTGGAAATTAATGGCATTGATTGGTAAGTCCTTCATATCTGAACTATTCCATCCGCCTAATAGGCTGTGTGTTTTATAATTACTTAGTTGGTATAGTTTCTCATTCAACGATATAGAATTACCAGCTCACTTTTTAAAAATAGTCTTTGACAAATAGGCGCTCATTAATTAATCATCAATATTAATTAGACGTATCCATTAAATACCCGATTACAAAAACACCCACATTTTTCTTTCTATGGGTGACTGTTTATCATCAGTTTGCCTTGATATTGTTTGATCATGAACAGCAGGGTGATCTTCGTATGTAACCTAATAAAAATACCAAATTAGGACGTAAGGGGTTATGTTAATTAGACACATGACCCTAATCAAAAGCTCTCCATTGGTCGAAAAGTGATCATGTGATTAAACTCAGCATTGCCGAGGTCCCAAGCAAATCTTGATTCTCTAGACTGTGGCCTTACAGTCAAAACCAGTCATATATTAAAAAGTCTAAAAAGGTTTCAAGAATGTAAGGGAAAAGCGCCCCATTTTCTAAAACTGATCAAACAGGGTCAGGGGTCAATTCAAAAATCGGCCACTTTTGTGACTTTAAACAGTACAGCACATCCTAAGCTCCTTCGGTATTTTCTAATCTTGAAAAAAATCATTCGAAAGCAAAATGTTTTGACTGTGTGACTGAAACAGGCGTTTGGTGTAATGTTATGGCACGCCTTCAATACGTTCAAACAATGACGAACAATTGTATTGATTGATCAAACTCCATTTGTAATTGCCCTTCTCCTGGTATAGCGTCGGTATTTGCCTAACTGACATTCTTGGCATATCCATCTTGAAGAAAGAAAAATAACCTTTGAATGTCGAATGTTTTGCTGCCAAGCGTAAAAGGTATATGGGATTTTGTCCCTCTCTTAGCATATGTCCACTATTGACCCCCAATGTCGATTTTTTGTCCGTCATAAAAACCACCTTTACCAATCAAACGGTAATTACATAGGACTGAATATACATGTACATTGGTTTAACAGTATGTATAAACCTAGGGGTATTTTTGGTCCCTTTCATACATG